TGGGTTTAAGATAGGACATAGGAAGTTCGACGTCAACATGATGAAATAATTTATTTCCTATGAGAGTGCCAGATCTCTGGCACAAGCTGCCATGAAATGTTGTGGAGTTTCCTTCTTTGGAGAATTTCAAAACCTGCCTGGACGCATTCCTGTGTGGCTGCCCTAGGGGAACCTGAGCTGGCAGGGAGTTTGGAATAGATGATCTTTCAAGATCCCTTCCAATCGCTAAAATTCTCTGATTCCATGATTCCCCTGGGCCATTTTGGGGTCCCTCTCCCTGGAGACAATCTTCACGCACCTTTCCCCAACGTGAGTCATATCACCAAAGGGCGATTGTCACAAACTGACCAATGTGAGTCCCCTTACGAGGAGCAATCCACCCGACCGTGAGCTTGGGCTGCAGTCCTTCACAGGAAACTGCTCCAGTGAGAGTTCCCCGTGATTTTTCAAAAGTCCTGCCAGTAACCTGCTCCAGCGTGGGCTTCTCTCTCTTCCATGGGCTAAGAGATGTTCCTATCCTATCATTTTACTGGCAGGCTCAGCCTTGGCGAGCAATGGGTTCATCTTTGGAACTGGCTAGCATTGGCTCTATCAGACTTCAAGCAGCTTCGAGCAGCTTCTAGCAGAAGCCACCCCTACACCACTGAAGTCTGGCCGGGCAAACCCAATACAAAAGTATTTAAGGGAGAGACCATGGTGTCGTAGAATCATAGAATGGCCTAGGCTGGAAGGGACCTTAGAGATCATCTACTCCAACCTCCCTGTTTTGGGCAGGGACGTCACCTCTCTACTAGACCTGGCAACACATGGGGACCAAGTCGGAATCGAATCCGCGACCTCAGTGTTGGTGCTTGTTGCCAGCACCATGCTCAAACCACTGAGCTAACTGGCCTCCTGAGTGTCCTCGGGGCCTGGTACTTGTGAGACCCCAGCTCTGAGCCAAGAGAGGAAGTGGCCCTGTACGAGCCACATTAAGTACCTCAGATACACCTCTAGAGATTTACACTGGGTGGTTATAGTCAGACCAGGGAGCCCTGCCTAGAAAACCTGGGAACTGCATTTGGCACTTAAAAAAGCGCAACATCTTCTTAGCAGCTGAAATATTTTAAAACTTTCAGTAAAAAGTGGCTGTAATGTCTATCCTACCAAAAGGTGAATTTTGAGAAGGTGCATTAATTGAGGGAAAAGAACTGAACCTCCCCTGTGCTTGTCTTGCCAGCACTCTGACGGCCACGACGGCCACTCTGACAGCCACACCACAGGATGGGGACCAAGCTGCCAGAGCCCTCAGGCCTTACCCCAACACAGGGGATCAGGACGAGAGGGGGGGAGTGGAGAGAGCAGCTCTGGAGACACCAAGTGCTGGCGTTCCCTGGCCGTGCTGCTGTGCCGAGACTCTTCTCCCCTTGCCCTCGGCACAAAGCAAGAGAAAAAAGAAGCAGACACTGAATTAGAAAGAGCCTGAAAACATTATCAGATGTAAGAAAACATCAACAACAATAAAAAATAAGAGAAGACAGGTGTCGCGGGTCAGGGCTGGGCCAGCCACTAACACGGACAGACGCTCTCTAACCCCCTTTCCCCCCCCCCCCAAAACGGGAGGAAAAAAACCAAAATGGGAAGGAAAAAAGAACAAAGCAGAGAGACTTATGGGTTAGAGAAGAAAAACTAGAACAGCTTTAATGAAACAAACAGTTTTAATGAAAAAATAGAAATAATGTTGAAAAGATTAAAGTAAAGCACTATATACAAATACAGATAGTAGCCAGATATAAAACCAGACTCCCTCCCCCGATAGAATCCCCACTGATTCTGCAGAGCAGGAGGCACTGGGGACGCCCCAGGCTCAGCAGTGGCGGGTGCTGGATACAGGAGGTGGATTCGGGAACTCAGGATCGGATCAAAAGCAGGAGTCCTCCCTGGACACCGGCCATTGCAGAAAAGGGCTGAAACTCTCGTGATCACTCAATTTATACTAAATATGATGTATATGGGATGGAATACTCTCGTTGGTCACCTGTCCTGTGTAATACCTCCCTGTAGGTACAATATTTTACTTCCTTGGGACCCTTCTTATTTCCTGGCACTCCCAGTGTGACACAAAAGACCCAGCAGTGGCCTTGGTCACTGTTGGAATAACTAAATGCAAGAGCCTTTCTGCATCCCAGTCCCAGGCAGTAACTGTAAACATCAGGTGTTATCACTGCCAGTAGCACACACTGTCTGCAAAAACGTGCTGCTATCTTCAGAAAGTGCAGCCTTTTAGAAGACACTGATCTGAAAAGTAAAAATAGATAAAAAGAACTGGTTTTTAGCTAAACCCAGGACAAAAGACTGGGCCTGCAGTGAGCTACAATATAACTGTTATGCAGAAGAAAATAACCAAGTTATTTCATTAGAAAAATATCCTGTGATCATTTTCCTGAGGGCATCCTTGAGCTCCTGGTTCCTCAGGCTATAGATGAGGGGGTTCACTGCTGGAGGCACCACTGAGTACAGAACTGACACCACCAGGTCCAGAGTTGGGGAAGAGATGGAGGGGTGCTTCAGGTAGACAAAGAGGGCAGTGCTAATAACCAGAGAGACCACGAACAGGTGAGGGAGGCACGTGGAGAAGGTTTTGTGCCGTCCCTGTTGTGAGGAGATCTTCAGGACGGCCCTGAAAATTCCAACATAAGACACCAGCACGAAAACAAAACATCCCAAAAATGGAAAAGTACTAACCACAATCAGACCAACCTCCCTGAGGTAGTGTGAGTGTGAGCAGGAGAGCTTGAGGATCTGGGGAACTTCACAGAAGAACTGTCCCACAGCATTACCCTGGCAGAGGGGCAGTGAAAATGTATTGGCTGTGTGCAGGAGAGCATTGAGAAATCCACTGGCCCAGGCAGCTGCTGCCATGTGGGCACAAGCTCTGGTGCCCAGGAGGGTCCTGTAGTGCAGGGGTTGGCAGATGGCCACGTAGCGGTCATAGGCCATGACGGTGAGGAGACAAATCTCTGCTCCAAGCATGAAGGCAAAGAAAAAGAGCTGGGTAGCACATCCTAGGAAGGAGATGCTCCTATTGTCCCAGAGGGAACTGGCCATGGCTTTGGGGACAGTGGTGGAGAT